GAGCCAAAGAGGTCAAAACTATTTTTAATAGAATATAAAGCTAAAATGGAATTTCCAGACAGGGTAGGGGTGGGAGAACTTTATCTCATGAATGAAATACATGTACATGAACAGTTCAAAGACAGTAAAAAGGTAAGGTAAAGTCAGCATATGAACCAAGTCGCTCATCAGGTTGGAATTTATCCCGGTTTCTGTAGCATGAAGTGACTAGGAGTATTTCTACTCCCCCCTGGATGGGATCCTAGTCCACTGCAAGGTTACCCCCAGTACCAAGTTCCCCAGTACCCATATCTACACGTACACCTGGGTGGAGAGAGGCACTGAGAGTTTTGCCCAAGAACACAATGCAATGTACCCTGCCAGAACTTGAACCTGGGCCACTCGATCCGGAGTCGAGTGCACCGAACATGAGGCCAACGTGCCTACCAGAGACAGCAGTTAATGTTCTTATGCCTCAATGCCCATAGTATGAAAATGTCCCTACCTCTTGAACATTACCATCATGTTCATCAGAATCACTACCACTCACAGTTTCCTTTAGGATTACACATTAACCAAGTGTTAGTTTGTTAGCCAGCTTTTAGACTTTAACCGTCAGAGATTAGCTAGTTACATTACATTCAAGTACAAACCAGCAGCAACATTAACATAAGAGCAGAGAAGTCATGAGCACAGACAACAACAGACAGTATAAATTATTCTAACAATCAAAGTCCACACTAGGCCACAGCAGTTGTACAGTTATGTGAAATGTAATGAAGCCTCTGCATTAATTTGAGATTTGGGTTGACCTTGAGATGATGGAGATTAGAAAGCAGTTACCTTGGCAACAAAACAATTAACATATTCAACGTGTCAAGGTTTGCACCATACATGTAACATGGTCGAATATAGCCTCACTTCTGCTGAATGGTGAAAAATGGGTCATTATGCAATTTTAGTGAAGAAGAATGGGAATTATGTTTTATGACGTTTTGGATACTCTCACTAATCAATAGTTTTCACCTCATAGATACACTGACTGTAGTACCTAGTAAGTTATTGTATATTTTGTAAAATCAATTTCATATCACTGTTTTTTGTAAAATTACATAAAATTTAACACTTATTGAAGTGAACAACATTTTGACTGTTCCAGGGCCATCATAAAGTTTGGGTTAGTTGTGTCCTCAAGAAACAAGTAAGGCTTGCCTGTGGCCCCCACTAGCACAAGAAACTCAAATGGCTTGACTTCATGTAGATCATTCCTGTAGCAGAATAACAACTAACACTTCAAAAACAACGTTCATAATTTTTGCATAAATTGCTGATTTGATGAGCCCTTGCAAATACATCATTGTAAAACCTTTCCAATTTTGTTTCAGGTAAATTTACCACAGCACCGCGGATGTCAAATCAGTTGACAAGGGAAGGAATGGCTAACTTACTAAATTACCCCCCTACAGTTTCCATATTGAGCTGTTAAACCTAAGAGTAGGCAATATAAGTTGATTTGTTTGGGTAACTCTTTCACACCCCAGGCATGTACAACAGTACAACCATTATCATTGCATTCTCCTTCGGAACATCAGCACAATAATGCAAGTCAGTTACAGCAGAGTACATTGGTCAGCAAAATAGAAATTTATATTAGTAAATCAGTAAATTAGAGCATCGGCAAATCCGTGAACTACATACATGTACACAACATCATTAGCACTTAAACTGCCCTTAATATGATTTAAAATCTTTCTTCCAATAAGCCCCCTTACCCTTTTTTACAGCCCCCCCTCCCCCACCCTCTGAAAGAGGTTTTGTAACAAGCACCCCTGTGGGTGCCCCTATCCACAGTTTGAGCTTTAAGTCAGAACGACTCATTTTCAATGCTTTTTAAAGTGCAGAGAAGTTAACAATTAATACCCCTCCCTTATGCACACTGTCTCGAATAAATTCCCTTCATTGAACTAGTGACAGTTCAAAATCAAATTACAACTGTATCCAGGGCAATTTAAACTCATCAGTTGTCTTAAGTCTGAGTATAATAGGCCCTTTGCAGCTGGGGTCACGTGACCAAATTTTTCCTAGAAAATTGTTTTATTATGGGCTATACATGTAACTTGAAGAATGCCAGAATGGAAGGAACATATCGAAAATACCAAAATGGCCAAGTTTGAGGCCCCTGGTATTAAAGAGTAAGTTTATACAACAGTTTGAATTTTGGGAAA